AAACTTAGGTATCAGCCTTTGAAAACTTTTGGTTGCCACAATTTTAGTTACAATCAACCATTAAGTAGTTTTGAATTTCTAGGTTAATGAATCATTATTGGCATTTATTTGCCTCCATTAAGTAGTTTTTCAATTCCTAGATTAATGGATCATTATTAGTATTTATTTTTATTTATTGAGTCTTTGTAACTCTGATGGCAAAACTTCTACATAAGCTGAACCATTTTTATTAAAAATAACAAGTTGAGTTTTATTCAGAAATATTAGAGTTTAACTCTTTTATCTTTGTGAGAGTGATTCTTCTAAGTTCTTGAGTGATTCAAGAACTCTTGGCTGTATCAAAGGACTTTCACATCCTTTGTGAATTGCCTCCCTTGGGAAAAGTGATTCTTTCCTTCAACATTTCACATTTACCTCTTGTCCTTTCTTCACCAGAACCCAGAAAACTCAATTTTGTCCAGATTTAGTTCATGATCATAACTTTCGTTCTACTTGTCCAAATTGAGTGTTTATTGAGCTTAAATTGTAATTCAAAAAGAGAACTTTCACCTTGTTTTTTAATCTCCTCAATCGAAGTTTTATAGCTTGAGATATCAACGTTTCAAAAATACTACCCATCCCTGAAACTTTCACCACTTTCTAATCCACATTCTCACTAATTTCCTAAATTTCTTACAAGATTCTAACCCTAAAGATCCTAAATCAGCCCTTGTGTAAATGAGGTTTATATCAGTTTACATTAAACTAGTAAACAATGATATGAAAAAGTTTATGGGTTTCTTTTATCACACGAATATGTTCACTCTTTGACAGACCACTCTTTATTCTTAAATCGTATAGGTAGCAGCAAAATCATAATTCTGGTTTATGTAGATGATATCATCTTGGCTAGAGAAGATATTGCAGAAATTGATAGGATTATTGATTTGGTCAATAAGACTTTCAAAATTAAGAATCTTGAAAATTTGACATATTTTCTAGGATTAGAAGTTGTAAGAAACAAAACTGAATTCACTTAAGTCAACGAAAGTATATTATCGATTTTCTTGAAGAGACTAGTATGATACATTGTGCTTCTGTTAAAACACTAATGAATCATTCAGTAAAAATCACGTATATAAAAGGGATACCTCTAGACGATTCCTCATCATATAGAAGACTTATAGGAAGATTAATTTATTTAATTAATACAAGACCTGGCATTACTCAAGTTGTACACCGCCTTAGTCAACATGTTTTTGCTCATACCATCATTCATCATCAAACTACTCTAAGAATCCTTCGATACCTTAAACACTCACCTGAAAAAGGTATATTTTTTACTGCAAATAGTAATATTCATCTTAAAGCTTATAGTGACTCCAATTGGACTAGTTGTCCTAACACTTGAAAATCCACTACTAGATACATAACATATCTTGGCAATTCACCCATATCATGGAGCAACAAATTGTCTCGAGAAGCTCTACTGAAGTCGAATATCGTGTCCTCACTTCAACTGTTTGTGAATTATAATGACTCACATATTTTCTTGATGACCTAGAGATAAATTACATTCGTTCAATATTGTTATATGGTGATAATAGATTTGCAATTCAAATTACCTCCAACCAGGTTTTACATGAAAGAACAAAACACATAAAGATAGATTGTCATATTATTAGAAAAAAGGTCAATGGTGGACTGATAAAACTTCTCTCAATCTCCTCTCGTATGCAGCTTATCAACATTCAATTATTTGATTTCCAAGTTAGGAATAATTGATATCTATTTGATTAAAATATAATAAGAAAAATCTATTTTAAATTTCTCATTTTTCTTCCTCTCTCTCTACCCATTTTTATGCTCTTCAATCTTTGTGCTCAATTTTCTACTGACACACATACTTCAATTTTAGTATCTTCCTTCATCATCCATATTCCACCAACACATGTTCAATAGTTTTTGTGATGTTAAATATTACATTGACACACAAACTTGATACTAAACACTCGATATTCACTCTTTTATCTAATAATCGACATATTTCATAGTTCTTTTCATATTTAATATTCCATTAACAAATAAGCTTAATACCATATTTATTAATTTTTCTAATAAAATATAATATAAACTTGACCATTCATCGTGACATTCTTTTATTTATGTAATGGTATCTTAATTTAGTGAAATAAAATATAGAAGAAACTTTTTTTTTTTTTACCTTAAACTCTTTTTCTGAACAATTTTTCTACTTAGTCATTTTTTTATAGTTATTACACATGTCACCACGGAGTCGATACTTACTACCAAGTTATTTGAGTAATTTTGTACACTAACGGAAATTATTGAGTTGTTCATGGGAATTTGGTTAATAAGATTCTATGCAACATATAATTGAAAGGAAAATAATTATATCGGTTCAATATTATCTACACTCATATTACTTATAATAAAGAATGTTTTTTATGTCATATATTATAAATATATATACACTCTTGTTTTAGATCTCTTAGGTTAATGTGAAAAATGAGAATACATGAAAATCAATAGATTATATTTGAGTGCCAAATATTAAAGAAATATATATTGCATTATGTTTCATGCGGGAATGTGGTTACGAAATCTATTTGATTTGAACGAATTTGAAAAAAAAACCCTTATTGAACCTTAAAACAAAATCTAATAAAATATCTTAAGTTATTTTTCTCACGAAATCGAACGACTAAAAAAAATATTATTTATGATTGCAAACAAAATAAATATGATGTTTTAATCTCTACAAAAATTATAGTTTAATTTACAATTATTTCCTTTTACAGTTTGACTTTTCAATTATGTTAAAATATTGTAAGATTTTTTTAAAATTTTATTTATATATTTCTTTAGTGATTAAGGTTTATTATTATATTTATTTTCTTAAGAAGAGAATACCTGTCTAAATCTTATATTACATTATGTTACGTTAATTTTTATATTTAAGATATTATCTATTTTAAAGATTTAATTTTTTATAATTTTATCTTTAAATTTAACCATAAAAATGAAACAATCTCATTTTTATATAAAATATTATTTAATTAAAATTGATGTATAATAAAAAAGTTATAAGTGGTGAAACTTACAAATTTAAAGTTTTAAGATTTATAATTAAAATAATATAATATTTTTGATTCGTATTCATTTATAAATATCAATTTTGCTTATCTACTTTAAAGATATTTAATATATTTTACATATTTAAGATATTTTTAATAATCTTATAAATAAGTTAGAATTAAAATATATATTAAATATAATTATATAAAATAAATATTTATATAAATATATCTCCATCATAGTATTATTTATATTATGTTCTGATTATTATTTTAACTTGAAATCTGAATGTTTATTATAATTGAATTTCTATTCAATTCTTACTTATTTAATTGAGATAGTCATTCATTTTGTCATTAATTTCACTTATAGATAAATATTCTACTTCATCAACCATTAAAAAAACATTTTATTGTGAGAAAGTAAACACATCTTTTATCAATAAATCAAGTTGATTTAGTCTTATTTTATATATTATTATATTTTAATTAGGTTGAATTTAACTTCAGATGATAGTACTCACTCAAAATTCTTTTCGTGTTTGCATATAGACGAATTTATACCTTATTTTCGTAATTATCTTAAGATATTTTTTTTAACCATTAGGCTTAATGATAGTTAGGTAGCCATTCAAACTAATGCATATTTTTATAGAATGCTTAAATAAAGAATAGGTTTCTTCATTAGATGTCAGAGAAGGTATTTTCTTAGTTGACTATCACTTATATTTTATAGTTAAACTGAATCTTTAATGATAGTATTTTATTGTTATTAAATTAAAAAAAATCAAACTTTTTTAATTTGACAACTAATATCAATCAAAATAAGGGAATCAAAACAAAATTTGACTGTAGATAAAGGAATTAAAATCTGTCTGAAAGCAGTTTTTTGATGAAGTTTTATAATAGGAATTAAGTATTGGGTAAAAATAAAAATGGTTGGGTCAATAACTGATTATTCTGACAATGTTCCGTAAACAAAATAGCTATTATAAGTTAGTTTTCTACCACACATCTTTACACGGAAGTACAAAATTAGAGCAACAAATTATTTTCAAAAATTGGAATGAGACCTAAAAACAAAAGCATGGCATAAACTGTTAAAAGAAAGAGAAGTGTAATGTAATGTAACTGAAGCAGTTGCTGAATTGTAGTTTGACCTCGAAATAAGTTTGGTCTTAAACGAGTGCCCAGGATTCGGTACCTCAAATTGCCCACTCCAATGCCACTGACTGCTCAAACACCTCACGCGCCAAAACACATGTGCTTCTCACGCGCACACGCGAGAATCGCGTATGCTGTTTTAAACCTGGGGTTAACTTGATTTTTCAAAATAACTGAAGTTAGTTGTTTCACTCAACAAATTTAACCGCTTTTAAAACAAACCCCACCATATTTATTTACTGTCTGTCTCCTTCCCATTCCTGGCTCCTCTCTCGTTCCTTTTTGTTTAAAAGAAAAAAAGTATTAAAACTCAGAGAGGATGGGAAGAATAGACTGTTCAAAATCAAAGCATGGTGCAGACAAAGGAAAAGCATTTTTTTTAGTACAAAATAAGAGCCAGTTTTAATTTCAATTTTTAACATTCGTTCAGAGCATCAACCTATGCACGACGACGGTGCGGATCTGGGTCAACCACGTTTGACCAGCATAAACGACAACATTGGGGCTGTTTCAGTAATTAAGTACTTGCGGTCCCACCTTAACATTTCTTGTGCCCGTTTAAATTTACATACTTATTTCTCCAGAGGTATTTAAAAACCTTCGACAGTGTCTTTGATGTTGTTGTGGTCCAGGTTTGGAGATTCATAACATCACATTACATTACCCTCTTATATATAACTTATTACCTAGGTTTTCTTCCTTCTTTATCTCTCAACGGAGAGACAGAACAAAAAAAAGAAAGAGTGGTTAAGGAGGGACATGAGAACAAGGAGAGGAGCGTGTTATTCTAGAATAGTGTCAAGGATGTGTTCCGATGTCAGGATTGCCAAGAAAAACAAGGATCTACACATGCATATGCGTATGCATGTCGCTGGAGATTCCTTTATTTATAGCCGGAAAAGACAGAAGAAGACGCCGGAAAAAACTGTTACCGATTACGATTTTCTCGAGTCTTTACCGGATGACCTTGTCATCTCTATCTTCTGCAAGCTTAGTTCTACCGCCACCAAACCTTCCGATTATCTCAATGTTTTAATCACGTACGTAATTTCTCAACCACCGTTTTTTCCCCTTCTTCTTGCATTTCTTGGAAGGGTTTCTGATTATAGTTGTGTGTAACAGATGTAAGAGATTAAACAAGTTAGCACTCCATTCGCTTGTTTTATCCAGAGTCTCTCCCAGAGCTTTCACTATTAGAGCCAGAGATTGGTGCGATTCAGCGCACCGTTTCCTCAAACACTGTGCGGATGCCGGAAATGTTGAAGCTTGCTACACTTTAGGCATGGTTAGTTCTCAAACAAATTAATCTGAAATTGAAATTAGGGATTGACAAATCCTAAGTTGTTCATTGTACCTGTTTTTGTGCAGATTCGGTTTTACTGTTTGCAAAACCGAGGGAGCGGCGCGTCGTTAATGGCGAAGGCCGCGATTAATTCTCACGCGCGTGCGCTATACTCGCTTGCCGTGATTCAGTTCAACGGCAGCGGCGGAACCAAAAGCGACAAGGACTTACGTGCCGGCGTGGCGCTTTGCGCGAGAGCGGCATTTCTCGGCCACGTGGACGCGCTGCGCGAGCTCGGCCACTGCCTGCAAGACGGTTACGGCGTGCGGCAGAACATAGCCGAGGGACGGCGGTTCCTCGTGCAGGCCAACGCACGGGAGCTCGCGGCCGTGTTGTCCACAAGCGCCGCCGCGCGCCACTGGCTGACGTGCAACCTGCAGCCGCAGCTCCGACAGGGGACCGGATCTCCGTTACTCAGCGATTTCGGATGCAACGTGCCGGTGCCTGAGGTGCATCCAGCCAGCCGGTTCATGGCGGAATGGTTCGCCGCTCGCGGCGGTTCGCCCGGACAGGGGTTGAGATTGTGTTCGCACGCGGGGTGCGGGAGGCCCGAGACGAGGAAGCACGAGTTTCGAAGGTGTTCTGTATGTGGCGCGGTGAATTACTGCTCACGCGCGTGCCAAGCGCTTGATTGGAAGTTCCGGCACAAGGCGGAGTGCGCCCCGGTGGAGCGGTGGCTCGAGGAGGACGGAGAAGATGTCGGTGACGATGATAGTGACGGCGAGGTAATGGTTATGGCGGATAGTTAGACAATTTTTCTCAGCGGTGACGGTAACCGGAAAAATTGAATCTATTTTTGGTGAAGAGAGAGAGAGAAAAAAATACAGGATGATTTATTCCGGCCGTCTCAAGGAAGGTAGAGTTTTTTTTTTCCTTTTTTTTTCTTGTATAGTGAGAAAATTCTCCCGAAAATTGAAAGGAGATTAATTTTTATTTTTTGTTGTTGTAATTTCAGAGTTTAACTTTAATTAGAAAAAAATGTTTTAATTAATTTAATGATAATTAATAAGAATAAAAAAATTATAAGTTTAATAAAATTACATCAATTCATTGTATTTTTTACATAAATTTCTAAAAAATATTTTATAATAGAACAGGGAGGAAATGTAATAATTTCATTATTATTGTTATATTTTTATCATACTCACACAAAATTAATTATGATTTTTATACCTTCGTAATACTAATAATTTATTTTAAAATACAAGGAGTAGTTAGTATGTTTTATATGGATTTGAGATGTTTGTAGATACGACAAAATTAAATGTAATTAAGTTGAAGGTGGGGATTTGGTGAGGTGTGATCTGTCTCTATTGCTTTAATGCGGCGACATGGCATAAGTTGATAAAACAACAGTGAAAAAAAAAAAAAATTTTGAATCACAGATCACGGACATCCTTAAGTTGTACAGTCTAACACTTTCACCCCCTCACATGCATGCTGTATGATTAGGGAGGGTTGATTCTAGGTCATCCAACAACTTGTTAGCAGCTTGAAGAATATCATTACAAAAGATTGTTAATGACAAATGATGCAAAACAACCTATCATATCATTACTTGGTAGTATTAATTATTTGCTAGTTCTGTGATCTTTGAGTACAAGACGAACCTTCAAGCAGAGAAATTTTCTTGACCTGTTTACAACATGCTTCTAATCCTTGTCATCTAATTATACCATACTTCTAACAAGTTTTAATTCGCTTAGACTGTATTTCAAAATTCAAAAAACTCTAGTTCGTGTATAATGAATAAGATGTGCAGAAGATTATATTAAATGTATTGGTTCTAAATTAACTACCGTAACATGAACAGTATTTTCTTATGATTAATTAGATAATAAAGTCAACTACTGCAATAAATAAAGCAGTTACTCGATACAAAAATAGAGATTTATGTCATAACAAGATGATGGACTTGTTTTAGGTGAAAAGTATTTACTATTGAAATTGCTCTTTATTTCTTAAAGTTAAAATATTACTCATAATTAATTGTAATTTTGTACAGTTTTTTTAATGAATTTTGTGTTGCTAATTAAGGTTTTTCTTGCCAAATATGTAGAAGGATTGGTAATTGGTGTTGTAATTCATCAACTAATCTAGCTTATCATATGTTTGAGCTTAGTTAAATTTAATTTTTTTCATTATAAAAAATGAATTAAAAATGAATCAAATTTATTTAATATATAAATTAAACCGGTTCGAATTTAGTTATGATAAATTAATTATAATAAATTAGGAATCTAATTAATGTTATTTTATTTCTCTACTTTTTTTACATTATCATTATAAATAAAACTCTTACTTAAGATTGTTATTAATTATCTACTGCACTATCATATATTTGTTATTGCACTTGAGTCGCTTACCATCCGATCGTCATACTATTATGTCACCGTATTTATTATGTTTGTCATACTACCACATTTTAGTTGTGACATCACATTTCGGTCCTATTTTTCAATGGTGTCATAGTGTTTGTCACACCATCGTGTCATTGTTCCATAGTGTTTCAATCACACACCAATATTTATCGCATTTTAATAATATCATGACATTTATTGTATTATTATATTATTAGGTTTTAGTCTCACAATTCAATCGTAATTAATAAAAAAATTTGAAGAATAAAAAGATAAATATAAATTAATGAATCAATCTACCTATTGGCATGACAATAGGGCGGGCGAGGCGGGCGGGTTTTGCCTCCCGATCCCCGCGCCCGACTTTTTTAATCATCCCCGTTCCCGTCCCCGATCCCTACCGGGGTTAGAAATTAAGTCCTCATCCCCGTTCCGCTGGGTTTCGGGTTCCCGTCCCCGCCCGTCCCCGATCTATATTATTTTTAAAAAGATAATTACATTTATAATAAATTAATTTTACTATCTATATTTTATATATAAATAAATATTTATAATTTTATAATATATAATAATTATTAATTAAATATACATTTTAATTTATTATATTTATATTAAAATATGTATGTAAAAGAAATATTTAATTATTTTTTATTTATAATATTATTATTATTATTATTATTATAATACTATATTCAAATATTTGAATACTTATAACATTATCATTATTATTATAATATTGTATTCAAACATTTGATTATATATATAAGTTAATTCATTTTTAAGTTGTCATTTAAAAATATGAAATATATAATTTATAATGAAATATTTAATAAGTTAATTATTATTCAATTAGTTCAAAGTAATAAAAGTTTAAATTATCAATTCTTTTAATCCTTTAAAATACAATTATTTTATTAAGATAAAATTTGATATATGATAAATAAGAATAATAAGATAAACAAATGACAAAATAAAACCTAATAAATATAAATTATAAATAAAATAATATTAGTTACTATTAAGATTTATGTAAAATATTTAGAAAAAGATAAAGAATAAAAAAATTAACTTTGTGTTCATCAAATTGATTGAAAAGATTGAAAAAAAAAATTGATGAGAGAGATTAAGGAAATATGAAAAACTGCAAGGTATAAGAGAGAATAATGTAATAAATTAATTGATACAAAAGATTAAAAAATAGGTAGAAGAAAAATAAAAATTAGTAAAATATAAAAAAAATGACCTTATATGTAATAGAAAAAGAAAAGAAAATACTTTTAAAATATTAATATTTTAAAATTTAAATTTAAATATAAAGTCGGGACGGGGACGGGGTCGGGATTGCATTACCCATCCCCGCCCCCGACTTTTTAAAGCGGGGAAAACCCGAACCCGCCCCCGCCCCCGTCCCCGTCTCCGGTCAACTCGGGTTTTCCCCATCAAACTCGGGGTGGAAGCGGGTCGATCTCTACGGAAACGAGTTTAATTGTCATCCCTATAATAAATTAAGTTAAGTTAAGAATTCACCTATTTTTAGCTTACTCCTAACCGAGTTTGAAAAAATCGCGATGCTCACTCGACCATCACACCAGCTAGTTTTTGGAGAAAAGTTAGAGAGAATCAATTGATATGATTTAATGAATCAATAGGTTTAAACGCATTAACATAATTGGAGATGTGCTTTATTTCTATTTCTTTCTATTTGACCTAATTTATTGTTTATTATAACTCACAAAGCAGTATTTTAAATTTTTTAATATTCAATACCTAACGAAGTTGTACAATAAAATTATGTTAATGAGATTGGTACGAGTACAACTAAATGCTCCTCCAGAACCTGCTACCAATTATCAGTGTCTCTTTTTTATTTTTTGGGGGGGGTCAAAAAGGAATCAGAAAAGATGAAAAAGAAAAGTAGGAGAAACAATTGCAAATTGCTTGTTGGTTTTTGAAAAAAGTTAGCTGGCTGGAATTTTGGACATATATAATCAGCTTAAAATAAGAAAGAAAAAAAGATTCGGTTTTGCATAGATTATTAATGTCAAATTGGGAAAAAAAATTAATTAAATGGGTAAAGAAAGAGGGTGAGGGGACGGCGGAGTGCACTTATTCTCTCTGCAATGTTCATTGTTTATTTATTTATTTTTGGTCCAGGTTCATAATTTATTTCAGTTTCACTTAACCCCATATGAGTAGTGAATGGGTGGTCCAGGCCCAGTACAATAACTAGTCCCATTTCCCTATTCTGTTCAAATTTTAGAGTTGAAACTACATAGAAGAATATTACATAAAAACAAAAATTGTTTGGTTTCATTTTAATACTATGAAAACATGGAATTACAAACATGAGGGGAGTTAAATTTAGTGATTGAATTTCACTTAAGGGACAACCTTAGCACGAAAACGAGAATTAACTGTCACATTCAGTCATGGAAGAACAGGTAAAAAAGGAAATAAAAGTGAAAGTAATTAAAATTGATGAATATGTATATATGTGTTGGGTAGAATAGAATAGAATTGGTGCATTAATTATTTGACAAAATTGCTTAATTGGGGAGCTACGGAGACAAGCTTACATGTTACGTGCTAACTACCACTATTTTGTCGAAATGTGAAGAACCTTCCATGACAGGTGGGTTTCTTATGCCTTTGAATTGAGCATCTAACTGTTATTGTTATTTTTCCTTTTCTCCCTTTCTTCTTGTTTTGCTTCTTTCTTTGGTATCTTTGCATTCCACAGCCTATGCAGTTATTTCCAAGTCGGTTGTCACCATCTTATGCTTTCTGTCTAATCATATTTTCGTATCGGAATTAGAGAATTAGAGGGTGACATTTATTAATAACATAATTACACCCAAACTTTAACCGATCATCATTTTATTCTTTAAATTTTAAATGCATATATAGGTTTCAGTAGATTAGTAGGCCTGTTTGTCCTTAAAAAAAATACCATATATTGTCACATATATATTATATTAAAATTAATTATTATTTTTAAAATATTATTCATTTTAACATTTTAATTTATTATAGTTTTATTTTTTAAAAATGAAATATTATAGAAACATGAATTTAGTATAATGGTGAATAACTATGGCGATAGGTAGTTGTATGTAGAATACAGAAAACAAGATGAAGAAGAAATTTCTAGAAAGAAGTGATAGAGAGTTATTCTATCTACACCCCTTTTTTTCTTAATAGAACCTCCTCACTTATATAATCACAAACAGCAAGAATTTGTAAACTTGGTGCGCGTGCTCATTACAAGCTGTTATGCCAATTTTCTCTTTTGTTCTTTTATCATTTATATAAATTATAATTTCTTCTTCGATACTAAAGTTGAGTTTAAGAAAAACTAATATAAAATGGTCTTATCTTCGAAAGTGGCA